AAACATACAAAAGAAGTAGAGAAAAAAATGACGATAGTAAGGATAGGAAAGAAAAAGCAGCAGTTCCCTGTTGAAGTTCAGGCAGTTATGAGCATGACATTGATGAATCAGCCCATTTACAATTACAATTCTATTGTGCAGAAGAACAGGTCTTTCGGAATGGCCTAAAGACACCTCAGTCAGTAGCATCGCCCCGGGGGGTGGGAAAAGTAAGAGACAGACAGAAGCAACAGTGAGAAAGAAATGAACTTACCAGTGGTGTTCTCCAACCACCCATAAAATGGAGATAAAAGACAGTGAGAGAGTGCTAAGAGCAAGAGAATGGGAAGAGGGAGAGGAAGGAGGTGGAAGGGGAGGGGAGAGACTGTGTAAAGGATAAACGGTAATTATGTTGGTGTCAGAGAGATAGAACATTTGCCAAGGACACCGTCATGGTGGGGGTTCAGAGAGCAAAGGTCTTGAAAAACTTGAAATTAAATTCTTTAAGAGGGTTGAAAATTACACTTGGGAGCCTGTTCAAAGAGACTGCCAACATCCCATAATACCCATTTTATCACTCAGAGTTTGTCTTGGTTTCTCTGAAATCTTCATTTACATCTAAAACAGTACCATTGAATGGATGTATGGATTTCTGTAAAAATACAGGAGATTGGAAACACTTAACATGTACAATACCAAAGAAAGGAAAAATCTGATACAGTAGAACATTATTATAGCCCCACTCATGGCAGTGGGACCACCCCTACAACGGTACCTTACCCGAATCCCCTCCCCTTTTTTAAAAATGGAAATTCAATTACCTATGCTTGGATTTAACGGGGGTAAGGAAAGGCCTGAACTTGGATACAGCAGGAGAGATCGAGCGAGCTCTGGCTGGGGGGAAGGGGTTGGGAAGTTGGGTCCTGTAGGCAGGTTTCTAACAGGCAGTCAGCGGTGCGGTGTTGTGAATGTCCATTTCAGTGATGAGTGAGGTGGGGCAGGCAGCAGAGAGAGATGGTGTGGAGAGACGTGTTACGTGAGCCACTCCGAAAGTGTTTTGACAAAGGTATCCCTAAGCCTAGGCTAGGCTAAAAAGTAAAAGAAGAGGAGAGTGATTCCCGGTTCACTGAATTGCAATCATTGACGCTCTGGCATACGCATGCATCCACTTCATTAGTTCTGCAGCAGGCCTTCCGATACGATAGCCAGCACAAGCAACAAGACCGAGGAAAAGATGGCTTCCAACAAAGACAAAAGGAAATGCTTCTCACTCAAATTAAAGGCCGAAGTAATCAATGAAGCTGACAAAAAAAAGGAAGGCAAATCTAAAGAGCAAATTTTATTGATATGGAAGGGAAGCAATCATATGGACTTTTAGAAACAATTTCAGTTATTCCCCTTTGCATTCCTACAGTGGGAACTTGCCAACAGCGTGATTTTTCTTCTGGAACCAAAATTCCCACTATAGTCATGTTCTACTGTATTGAAAACGCTTAACATGCACAATACCAAAGAAAGGAAAAAGCCCATTACCCTGGTCATCATGTAATTGTGTAGGCTGTTGACAAAGTAGAGCAGTCGAAACTTGAGAAGCTGAAAGCGGTGTAGACGCTGACCGACAGTCATTGGGTCGTCTTCCATGAGTGTGTTGCTGAAGGAGGGATGTCCTTCAAGCCCAGCCACTTCTGGGAGCTTCTTGGACAGTTCTGGGAAGACAGAGAGGGGCATGCTAGGGTAGAGAGAAGGAGGGATTGGGTTTTCGTTGTTTT